AGTACTAGGAGTGTATTTTGGTGTATGCCTCTTTGCTCCATATTTAAATTTACGCTAATTCAGAAGTGACTTAGGGTGGTACCTAGGAGAGTTAATAAGAAAGGAACTGGCCATGCCAGAAAGACCAAACACATGGTCAGAAGGTTGAAATGTTCAACCATAACCGCCTCAGAGAATAAACTCTATCAAGTGGTTGATGAACAAATAAATCATGCTTATGTAATGAAATTCCAAATAAAAATACTAAAACAATAAGGCCCTGGGAACTTCCTGGTTAGTGAAAACATAAATGTGTAAGGTGAATTGTATGGAAGTTCATGACCCGGGTACACCTTGCTATACTGTTTTATTTCTTCATCTTACTGTTTATCTGTCTCCTTTATAACAAATTGTAAATGCAATCTTTTTCTGTGTCCTATAAGTTATTATGAAATACTACAGGTTTTAAAATCAGGCGCATAACTCAGAGGGTTACCTGACATGCACAGGGCCCTGAATTAAATCTCCAATACCATCTGGGCACTATCAATTGTGCCCCCCAAAACTGTTGGACCCAAGTAGCTTTGTATCTCCAGGTCCAAACATCATCAGCCCCAAACAACTGGACCAAGTGTCTCTGGGAATGGTTCCCAAAAGCACATGAGAGGCTCCCCAAACCATATAAAACAATAAGGTTCTTCATACTAAAAAACAGACCATTCTGGTCTGGTGAGATAGTACAGAGGTCAATGCACTTGCATGAGCCTGAATCCAGTTTGATCCCCAGCACCATATATGGTTCCCTGAGCATTGCAAGAGAGATCCTTGAGCACAGAACCAGGAGTAAGCTCTGAGCAGCGCCAGGTGGGCCTTTTCCCCCAGTAAAAAAAGGCCATCCCTACACGACCTTGCATAAATGATAGAGCAAAGAATCAATTACTATATATACATATATATGAGTTAAAATTAATACAAAATAAGCTTACTAGGTCATGTTAAATAACTTTTAAGGCCTATCAAAAATAAAAGTCAAGTACATCAGGAGCAGGAATGCTACAATAAGTACTCAGCCTGTCTAAAGTAGTTCTTCGAAAAGGAGTTTGCCAGCACTGCTCCACTGCCTCTAGAACAGCTGCTACAAAACAAATACTTACTGTGGTTTTGACTTTTGGCCTTTTGACCTAAAAGGGAAAAAAATATTCTCTTCAGACTTCTTTTAAAAACTTCTTTCGAAAGCTACTGATGGAGACCTTTTGCAAAAAGGAAGTAGCTTAACACAAACTTTCCACAAAAAAAGAGAAGGAGAGTCCTGCATCAAACTCCAGGAGAAGTTGCGGCAAATCCCCTCCACCTCCTTCCACCCACATAAAGGTAAGGTAAAGGCCCTCCCGTTGTTCGTCGATTTGCTCGAGCGGGCCCAGTAACGTCTCCATCGGGAGACTTCATTGTTTCTGTGTTTGGCATATTGAATACGTCACGGGGAGCTTGCCAGGCTCTGCCATGCGGGCGAGATACTCTCGGTAGCTTGCCGGGCTCTCTGAGAGGGGCGGAGGAATCGAACTCGGGTCGGCCATGTTGGCTGTGTGCAAGGCAAACGCCCTACCACTGTGCTATCGCTCCAGACCACATAATTTTGAATTAAATAGGCAGAAATACAAGTATCTTGGGGGATAGTTTATACTTGCAGCTGGCATCTAAAATGGGGCTGATCTTTTATTAAACCGTTAAATTGTATTCTGCATTAATTCCAGGTGTTAGTGTAAGAAATGATGAACTTTACCCTAATCTTGTGGGGTCTACTCTAGTAGTTTGTGTTGGAAATAGATTTAATGAAAGGCTGTCCAGTTGGGTCAGAGCATAAATTATTGGAACGTAATAAAAAAGTATAACACAGCACCTGGTACAAAGTGCTGGAATAGTCATTGTGGTTAAATCAGTAGAGGCAATGTGAAAAACTGCTATAAGAAGCAACAACAACGAAACAAATTGTATCTGAAGAAAAATAAAGGGACTTTGGAGTCTCTAGTAAGACAGCCTTAAGTCTATCAACTTCCTGAGAGAGGACTTTGAAAAACCAATTCATGGGGTGATAGTATAATGGGTGGGGTTTTGCCTTGCACATGGCTGACTGGGGTTCAATCCTCAGCATCCCATATGGTCCCTGAGTACCAACAGGAGTGATTCCTGAGTGCAGAGACAGGATTAACCCCTGAGCATTGCCAGGTGTGACCCAAAAAGGAAAAAAAAATGTCCCACTAGTTACTGAGACATTCTTAGTGAATAGAGATCTCTGACTTTATTTCACTTCTCCTCATTAATCCCAAAGTACATATGAACTTGCACATCTCTAGCTGTATAATTAGATGCTAAAGATACACACTACCTATGAGAGCAAACATTTAAACCTTAAAAAACACATACAAGGCTGTAGCAGTATCCAAGTCATAAAGAGAAACCGTGTAAGGAACCCTGGAGTACTCCAATATGAAGAGTTAAGGAAAGAAGCAGAAATGGCAAAGGAAGGGAAGGCTGACCCGTAAAGCCAGTGGAAATGTAAAAGAAAATGGAAATCAAATAAAAAGGAAGAGATGATCAGCTGTGTCCCAAACTACATATGGATCTAACGATTTAAAATTTATATTTAGCAGTAGTGTGATGACCCTGAGAGGACAATTCTAGTGAATTAAGGTGTGAGGGATGGCACAGTATAGGTTTTAGAGGATTTAAAGCAAGTACAGTGGAAACAGTAAAAATGTTTAACCCTACAACACACAAAAAAGAGGCAAATAAATGTGGTTGATTGATTAAAAGGGGAACTGGAACCAATATGGAATTCATACAATAAAGAGCTAGAAACTGATGATATAGAAGAGGGCAAACAGTTATTGTTGAGTAAGAGACCAGGATAGGATCTACTGCATAAATAATCACATCTTACCTGTTTCTCAATTTATTCATGTGGCTCCTTTAAGAGGTCTAGATCTTCTTAAGTATATACAGGTGGATGATAGTATTTTATTCATTTGAATAACGGTGAAGGCTAGTAAGTAATATAACCTAGCTTAGCATATTTGGATTGTTTTTGTTTTGTTTGTTTGATTTTTTTGGTTTCTGAGCCACACGGAGTAAATGCTCAGGGGTTGCTCCTGGTCCTGCACTCAAGAGTCACTCCTGGCAGTGCTCAGGGGGACCATATGGGATGCTGGTGATTTAAACTTGTGCTGGTCCTGTGCAAGGCGAATGCCCTTCCCACCAAACTATTGCTCCAGCCCATGACCCAATATAGTTTATTTTTGCTTTTTGGGTCACACCTGGCAATGCACAGGGGTCACTCCTGGCTCTGCACTCAGGAGTCACCCCTGGTGGTGCTCAGGGGACCATATGGGATGCTGGGAATTGAACCCGGGTCGGTCGCGCGCAAGGCAAATGCCCTACCCGCTGTGCTATCTCTCCAGCCCCAGATCTAATATAGTTTTAAACTCAAAGTCAGTTTTGGGTAATAGGAGCTAGTCTAAAATAGTGAAGAGGATTTTCACATTCCTCACACATATATACGTATATATATGTGTGTGTCTATTTCACATACTATAGATTTTCCATGAAAACTGTTTATAACTCAGCAGATCTGGAAAACGCAGTCCTTTTAGAAATCTACAGTGATTTCCAGGCTAGCTGTCCATATTTGAGTTGAATTCTCCTATTCTAGCAGTTCAGCAACTGCCAAATAAATAATCATATATTGCTTCTGTTTCTCAGTTTCTTCATGTGGTTCCTTTAATAGGTCTAGAATTTTTAAAGCAAGTACAGCTGGATGATAGTATTTTAGTCATTTTTACAAAGGGATCTCTAAATTATTTCCCAAACAATCACTTTTCAAATTGAAAATCTGGGGAATGGGTACTAAGCCATAGCGTTATTATCACTGCACATCTCAAGGGGGCGCCAATCCTCAAAGGTACGCCTCGAAACGGCTTCAACCAGGACTTTCCTTCTTTTCAGTTGGTGGCCCTCGTCCACTCTTCCAGTCATTGCCTGGAACGTTTTTCAACACTTTCCAAGCCATGCCCTCTTTCCTTTCCTCCAACCACCCCCGCCCCCCACCACCCCGTCCCTGGTAACATTCCTATCAGTCCTGGGGCGAGATATTACAGCATAAATAGTAGATGACTACAAAACAAAAGACAATCTTACTTCAACTTCATGTTGAAAGCAAAAGGAAAATTCTGTATAGCAATTTAAGGAAGAAAAGAGGTGATCAAACGAAGCTTCCACGGGGGAGCCCAAGGATAGAAGGCGAGGTAAAACCCAAGCGCTGTGCGAAGCAGGGCCACTGCGGGAGAAAGGACCACAGTCTCATTCTACAGCTGTTCTCCTTTGTTTTGCTGTTGTTGGCATCTCTGGGCATCGTTTCCAATACCCACTTCATATGTGCGTGTTAGTATGTTTTTTTAATTCGGTAAAATCTGGGAGGAAATGTACCAAAATTTTAGAGTGGTTGTCTTAAACAAAATATTTACTTTTTCAAGAAAAAAAAAATCCTGAGGTTTCTCAAGTGTCCCTCAATGAACACGTATTTTTGTGACAGTATAAAATGAGATCAACTTTTTCGAGGAAGTGATGACAGCGCTCATCTCCCTGGACGTCAGGAGCTAGTGGACGCCAGGTCGGACGGAGGCCCCCCTCGGCCTGGACTCCGCGGTTCTGGATCTTTCTCTTGTCCGCCTCTGCCAGTTTGTCCTCTTGGGTCACTCCGCAGCCCCAGAGGTAGAAAAGGGCCGTTCAGAGCCAGACCGAAGAGAAGCGCTCCCCCCGGGCGGGGAGACCCCCACCCCGCCCCTCCCGGAGTCCCGAGGGACACCTCGGGGAGCGGCGCTGTGCGTCACGCGGGCCCGCCCCTCCCGCGCCGGCCCGGCGGCTGCTGCCAGCTTGGCCGCCGTCGTGGACGCAGGATTTCCGCGGTTGTGCAACCGTCGCTGCGGGCGAGGAGAGGCTGCTCCGCGCTGCTCCTCTCGGGGCTCGCCATGGCCCGGGCGGCGGGGGGCGGCGCGCTGTCCGAGCGCACGCTGCTGTTCGACATGCCGCCCGCGCTGCTGGGCGAGCTCTGCGCCGTGCTGGACAGCTGCGACGGCGCGCTGGGCTGGCGCCGCCTGGGTAAGTGCCGCCCGCCGGGGGGCGCGGCTCGCGCGGGTCGGGGCGAGGCGGCCGCGCGTCCCCCCCTCCCCATCCCCTGCAGGGACTGCATCCTCGGGGCTGGCCACGCGGACCCCACTCGTGCCTCGCTCGTGGAAGGACCGACCCACTTACGCCTGGTGACTCCAACAGGGGTGTTCCTGCTCTTTCAGAAACTTGGGGTAACGCTCAAATTTGATCACTACGCAAGTCACCCCCACCGTTCACTGGCAGAGAAACGTGGGGTGTCACTAAATGATGAGACTCTTGGGGGGGGGGCGGAAATAGCTGCTTGAAACTGTCTAATATGTACATGGTTTACATCTCTATAAGTTATTCTTGCTTCGAAATATTCTTCCCCTTCATAGGTCCATCCATCCATCCATCCATCCATCCAATCTGTTTTGCAAGTTAGGGGATGTGCATCAACCTCACACTTGCGAGCTATGTGTACCAGCCAGCGAGCTATATTCCCAACGACTGGAGTACTTTAAGTAAGAAAATTCAGATATGGGGCCCAGAGAGATTGCATACAGTGGTCAGGACATCTGGTCAGGGTTTGATCCTTGGCACCCCATACCTTGAGGGTCCCCCAAACCCTCAAGGAGTGATCCTGAGCAAAGAACCAGGAGTAAGCTCTGAGCATCGCTGGGTGTGGCCAAAAACAAAAACAAAACCAAAAAATAGTAACAAAAAAAAATGCAGATATGAGGTCTTCTTGTCTTTGCAATATTAACTTACAAAATAGTTTTCATATTAAAACAACTTCCTAGCTTTATTCAGGTGAAGAGCTTAAGTCAAATTCTATTGCAATTAACTTGGTTACTTGGTTTTCTTAAATAGATCTTGGTTATTTACCCAATTAGGTTGAATGAATGTTTATGTTAGAGAATGTCTTTGTATTTTAATCTAGAAATTTGGTCTTCATCTTTGTATTTTAATCTAGAAATTTGGTCTTCATAACTTGCAGTATTGGAGACTATTAGCACAGGGAAGTTATAGATAGGATAACTAGAAGTGGAACACTCTATTTGATTTTTAGGGATACATACTTGCCTTTCTCCAGTTACTCCTAAAGTAGGATGCAGGAGCAAAAATCAGGAAGCAATCAATTGTTAGTTTAATCCTGATTGAAGTGGATTGCTATGGGTGTTACATAAGCCCAGGGAGCCAATATGCTATGTGAAGTAACCAGTCTGGGAAGTCAGACTATTATCTGTAGCAACTAGTTCAGAAAGCTATTAACACCAGCTTAGTAACACAACTGGACTAGTTGCTACATATAGTAGTTTGACTTCTCAAACTGGTTACTGTAGATAGTAGATTGACTTCCTGGGCTAGTTGACACATGTTGTGAGTTATATTTTTATATGTAGTGTTGCAATATATATTTTATATGTAGTGTTGCAATAGCACAGCGGTAGGGCGTTTGCTTTGCACGCAGCCAACATGGCCGACCCAAGTTCGATTCCTCCGCCCCTCTCGGAGAGCCCGGCAAGCTACCGGGAGTATCTCGCCCGCACGGCAGAGCCTGGCAAGCTCCCCGTGACGTATTCGATATGCCAAACACAGTAACAACAAAGTCTCCGATGGAGACGTTACTGGGCCCGCTCGAGCAAATCCACGAACAACGGGAGGGCCTTTACTTTACTTTACTATGTAGTGTTGCAATAGTTCCTTTGTATACTCATTATGTCATAGAAAAAGAGTATAAGGTATTTACTCCTTGATATTCCAGCCATAACTAATTGTGCAGTGGGTTGTATATACACACTGCTGGGACCTCATGGTTCTTTTGTTTTGTTTTCTAACTTTTTTATTTTATCACGTAGTTCACAATATTTGATTACGTTTAATATTCATACACCAATTTCACCACCATTACACCTTTCCACCACCATATTTCTGGTGTTTCCATCCAGAACCCCAATCCCTGCCCCAAAGCAGAACTGAACTACTATAGTATTTCCCTCTAAGGTTGATTACCTCCTACTTTGAATCCCATCAAATGTGGTGCAGTACTCTTAGACTATGGGTAGAGTGTATCCCATGAAGTGCCCTGAAGTGCCCTGGGGCTGTGCAGTTCAGGGAATGGTTCACTCGTGGGTGAGACTCAGTCCAAGCATGTGGAGAGAGACAGAGAGCAGAGCGGCAGTTGGATTCTAGAGGTTTTCGGCTGCCCGGGCTGGGTCCCTTGGGGCAGGGAGTGCTCTCACCTGCCCCTCTCTGGTTTTTTCCACATTTTTTTTTCGTTTTGGGTCACACTTGGCGATGCTCAGGGGTTCTTCCTGGCTCTGCACTCAGAAATCACTCCTGGCGGTGCTCGGGGGAGCATATGGAATGCTGGGAATTGAACCCAGGTCAGCCGTGTGCAAGGAAAACGCCCTACCCGCTGTGCTATCATTCCAGCCCTCACCTGCCCCTCTCTGGGGTGCCCCGAGTGAAACAGCCTGACGCTGGGTTCGGCGGCGGCATGGTTATGGCAGCCCAGCTGCTTCATAAATTGTTGGTTCAGCAAGAGGGAAAGCTGGCTTAATTCAGGGAAGTGGAGGAAAACTGCCAGTGCTCCATGCACTGAGTTTCTCTACAGACACTGTGGGGAAAAAAGTGAGGAAGATGCGCATGGAAGGGAAAACTGACTTTAGAGAGATGAGCAAGGGAATGTTGGAGGACTGGGTCAAAGCTTAGCATGCTGATATCCTGAAGGTACAGAGGAAGCAAAATTCCATATGGAAAACAGTAGTTGTAGGAGGTATGACTGTCTTGAACTGGTCTTTAATGACAATAAGTATTGGGCCATTAACAATGGCAGATATTTGAGTAGTCTGTATAACATGGTAAGTATAGTTGGAATAAGGCAGACCAGTTGCTCATAAACTGAAATCATCTGCAACATCTTATAACACTGTAGTAGCACTGTCCTCCTGTTATTCACAGATTTGCTCGAGCCAGCACCAGTAATGTCTCCATTGTGAGATTTGCTGTTACTGTTTTTGGCATATCCAATATGTCACGGGGAGCTTGCCAGGCTTTGCTGTGCAGGCGGGATACTCTTGGTAGCTTGCTGGGCTCTCCGAGAGGGGTGGAGGAATCAAACCCCGATCGGCCACACGCAAGGCAAACGCCCTACCTGCTGTGCTATCACTCCAGCCCGCAACATCTTATAACACTAGAAAATTTTGGACTTCCCTCTAAGCTGCTGATTTAGTAAGGCTGGGGCAGAGTCCAGAAGTTTCCTGTTGTTTTGAAAAAGCCCCATTGATGAAGCTGATGCACAGCTTATTATGGGAGTTTTGACTAAGGCCAAATTCTCTTTGTCAATTAACATTGTAATATAGTAGTCTATATATAGCACTCTTTCACTATTCTAATTGATTCCTTTTCTCTTTGCTTTGTATATTAGTCCTCAAATCAGTTTATTAAGTATTATATTAAAAATGGTATAATCAGGGCTGGAGTGATAGCACAGCGGGTAGGGCGTTTTGCCTTGCATGTGGCAGACCCGGGTCCGATTCCCAGCATCCCACTGGGTCCCCCAAGCACTGCCAGGAGTAATTCCTGAGTGCAGAGCCAGGAGTAACCCCTGTGCATCGCCAGTTGTGAACCCAAAAAGCAAAAAAAATAAAATAAAAATTCTATAATCATAGGTAATCTTTAGTTGTTGGTAACTTTATAATGAAAGGAGGAGCCAAAACTGGGAACTGTTATTCATCTTCTACTATATTACAACATATATGTATGTATAGAATCTCTGATGAAAAATACTTAGTTACATTGCCAGGCTGTGTCATTCAAATTAAATTGTTTGGAACAACTCACACTAGAAATGTCTCAACAGTTGTGATACACTGGAAGAGAAATTTATTTTTCAGATACCATGTAATAGGTTTGTTCAACTTTCTTTCAAATCTAGAAAAAAATTCATAGACAGTATTATTCACTTTAAAATACCTGTAAAATCACATTAAACTTAAATTTTAATAGAAGTGTAAAAATTAGTAATAATACTGATAATAACTGCCACGTGCTGAGTGCCTACATTTGCCAGACTTTATATTAAACATTTTACATGGGTTATTACATTTACTTCTCAAAAAATGCCATGAATTAGATATTTTTCCCATTTTTGCTTTATAGATAGGAAAACTGATGTAGAGAATTTAATTAACTTATAGTCACAGTAAGCAAGTCATGATATAGCACTGCACTGCAGTATATCACTGTCTTCCCGTTGTTCATCAATTTGCTCGAGCTGGCACCAGAAACGTCTCCATTGTGAGACTTGTTGTTATTGTTTCTGGCATATTGAATATGCCACAGGTAGCTTGCCAGGCTCTGTTGCGTGGGCAGGATACTCTCAGTAGCTTGTTGGGCTCTCCGAGGGGGATGGAGGAATCGAACCCGGGTCCAAACGCCCTACCCGCTATGCTGTCACTCCAGCTGCAAGTCACGATATAGTGAATCACAAATCAAGAATCTGACATCTAGATTGTTAGACTTCAGTGCCTATGTTCTTTTTCACCCTAAAATTAATAGACTTTGTTTTTCAGAAATATTTGAAATTTACAGAGAATTTAAAAAACATAGAATACCCATATATTCTAAATCCTTCCAAAATACTTTATACCCAAATTTACCCAATAATTATTAGTACGGAACATTTGTTATATTAAGATCATAATATTTTTAAAAACTCATACTTTATTATATTTTCTTTTTCTTTCATTCTCTTCCTTTTTTCTTTAACTTTTTCTTTCTCTCCCTCCTGCTCTCTCTTTCTCTCTTTCTTCTTTCTTGTTTTTGGGCCACACATGGAGATGTTCAGGGGTCACTTGTGGTTCCGCACTCAGGAATTACTCTAGCAGTACTCCGGGACCATATAGGATGCCAGGGATCAAACTCTGGTCAGCCATGTGCAAAAAAAAGCAAGAGCACTTCTCAGTGTACTGTCATCCCAACCATTCCCTCTCTCTCTCTCTCTC